AATATGGAATACTATAATATGGAATACTACAACATGGAATACTATAATATGGAATACTACGCTGCAGTGGTGGAACTGAAGTGTAAAGATTTAGGACTAGAAACTAACAAGAATATGTAATGTTATTATTATTATTTTTTTAAAGTTTGACGCAGGGTCCCATCTCATTATAGTGCCCTGCCCATGTCAATAGGGCATCTTTCCTTCTGGTGAGCACTCAGCAGCTGTGACTATAGCTCGCATCAGATCTGCTTGGGAAAGGAAAGCTGAAAGCCCTGGTGGCAGGGGCTGCTTGGTTGCTCACTCATTTGAGTCTTGATGTCAGGGACTCCCTGGATCACCTAGAGGTCAGCAACTTTCTATGTGATATTCCTTCCTCCTATGCTTTCTGGAAGAGGAGAACTGTACCTTGTATTTTAGTTCTCCACTGTGCTTAGCACAGCACCTTGAGCATAATCGGTCTAATTTTCCCCAAATATGCCTCCTGGTACTACACAGCCATTTTGTCTCTATATAGCTTATTGTTTTTCCAGCTACCTAAAAAAGTTCCTCCTCTGTTTTCATTTTGTTTTCCTTCAGGATATAGTAATAGAGGTATCTGAAAAGGAGAATCTAGTTCCGAGGTAAGAATAGTCTCCTACTGAACATGCAGTTAAACTCATTTTCTTTACAGTTGACATAATTATAATTGGGATTTAAGTGGACACTTAAACCCAAAACTTCCTGGGGGAGTTAAAATAAAGTAATACAAATGGGTTTAGCTGCAGGCTTAGTAGGCAGGCTATTGGGAGAGGAAGAGGGAAAATCTGAGGGTTGGAGTTGCCCTCAGCTGGCATGTCCTTCTCCAAACCTGATAACTGTTGGTCAATTTCATGGTATAATAGAAGCATAATGGCTTACAGGTCAGTCAGACCTGCATTCAGAATGCAATTCCATAACTTTTCGATGTGAAACATTAGGTAAGTTACTTAATTATTTATTACTTTCCTCATTTGTAACATAGTAATGATAATAATAATTCATGGAGTTATTTTGAGGAATAAAAACCATAATATGAAAGGTATCTGGTATGTAGTCTGGCGTATAGTAGATGTTTTAGGTATTCAGTAAATGTTCTTTTTCCCTTTCTTAAGTACTTTGAGTTTAAAAAGACATATCCACTGCTACTAGAACTGTGAGCCATGACCTGAAAAGAAGACAAAAATAACACATTATGAGGCTTTGAGGCTATACATACAGTGTTCTTTCTATTCTTTGTTCCTCTACCTGCCCTTTTTTTTTCAGAATTCAAAACCTTTATAATAACCCATAAGAAGTCTGGAATTAATTCATAAAAAGCTATAATGCTATTTTTTTGTGTAAGTATGTTAAATATACATTTTATATAGTCTCAAAATAATTCTTGCCTGAAATAATATTTGCAAAATAAGAATGCAATAATTTT